GTTAGAGATGGAGTTAGGGTCACAGTTATGTTTGGGTTTAAGTTTTGGGTTCATGCTAACTATGGAATTTAGGTTTGGGGTAGAGCTGGGTGTGAGATTAAGGTTACAATTTACCTTTATGTTAGGATTAAGGCACGGGAGTATTTACTCTTCCTGAAATCTATCACAAGACCACCAATTTTAAGTCGGCGGACGCTTCCATTCCCGTGTTTTGTTTAGACGACCATAAAAGTCATCCTTACACTAGGCATTCCCTGAAGTGACGGATTTGCTCTTCAACTGTAATTGGCCAGTTGGCTTCCACTTTTCGAAAAGCGCGGACTGGTAGGTCCAGCATTCTCCTGAGGATAGGCCTTCCCGTATGTTTTACTTCGGCCACCACAGAGGTGGCTGAAGAGAAGAGAATGTGTAATAGTGCACAGGTTAGTACCCTGAGCGACAGCTTCAGTGCGTATACCATCTGAGACATTTTCATTTGGCCTTATGCACCGGACATTAGGGCACATATCTTAGGAATAATTCGATAGGCGAAGCTGCAGCACTCTTCGCGACAACACCAGTTCAGCTGTGTTCTGCTGGATAAATTATCCGTGTTCTGTGCCTCCCGGCTGTGTCGGATTGGTACTACGGGGGAATAAACGTCCCCATTCCGGCCACCTGAATAGCAGAATAATGTGTCCAAAGTTGAGATCCAGAACACAACAATTATGGGATCAGGGTAGTTTCTTTCGAAAGATCCCTCAACAGTTCATTGGCGTTAATCTAATTCCGGTGTGGTAGTGGAGAAACGGGTAGTTCTCCATCGTCAAGATCTTTGAAATTGTAATCATAGTTTATGTCCTGCAGCTTCCTCCTGCCTGTCAAAATAGTGAAAAAAATTTACGAGGATTTCGTGGGTAGAAGGATATACTATGCTAGTAAGTGATCCGAACTTCCATAACGTAAAATTCTCCTTGGCAGGGATTCACAATGGGGTTGCCTAATGGTAGTAGGATTTACTCTAATAGTGTTCTTGGTCTAAAGGCTGCCTTTACTAACCAACAGGAGTTGTTCTTATAGTTTTCTTTGTCTTTTCGTTCTTTCCGCAACCATTGACTAACGCTTTAGTCCAGTAAAACAGTTACAAGTGGCTTTGATTTATTTTTTCTGTGCTTTTACCTCGCATTAAACGCGCATTTACTGGTCATTACTCAAGCATTAAACTTCTAACCGCGAATTCCGTCAGACACTTGGCTTGGCGAATTTTGCCATTGGGCAGCCCTACAATTCATCACTATCCCCGTCCCCTTTCACAGAGCTCAGGTAGCCACCGGTATTTTTTTTTCAGAAAACGACCTTTCCGAACCAGATCTTCGGTTTATCCTTGTAAACTTGCCTCTTAAAAATCCCTTACTTCATGAGATTTGGGCAGTCTGTTGGCAAATATAACCATGTATACTGGTCTACCCGCAATACTGGATCGTTTGCGGATATCCTAAAAAGGACCTACAATACGCGTTTTGGAGGTGAACATGTCCATTGATGCCGCGCAATCCCAGCTGAATCCACCTGCAATCTGAGCATTGTGCTGGGATCTCACATTGGTCTATATCCCTTC